TTTTCTAGACCAGTTTCACCCACCAGACAGGGATACCAGGAAACAGAGGTGCTGAGCAACACATGCCCTTGCCACAGTCTCTCTCAATTCACACACATCTCCTTTGATCCTCCAGATCTATGGCGAAACCATAACAAAAAGTTCCAGATGTTTAGGCATTGTAAAGTGACATCTGGAGTTGTTTTTTGTCATTAGCACTTGATTGCTCTTGGTGACCTCTATACTCCTTGGGCCAGTTGTGAATACTGAAGTAAGGGCTACAAATCCAAGCCTATGAGATGCATTGTAAAGAACAGTTAAGATTTTAAACAGAATTAATTTGGCTATAGGGAAGAATACAATATTCCAAGTTAAAACACATGTTCTTGGGTTTTTCATTAGGGGTCTGACACTAGTACCCATAAAAATTCTTACTTTTACCTTTTAACAGAAGAAATTTTACAAGCTGAAGAAGGAAGTGAAGTTTCTGCTCTTTTGTTACAGAAAAAATATATGACCTTCTGTTTGCACTATTTTGATGAACTAGTATGGGGAAACAGATGAAATTGAGCCTGTATGTATTCCAAGGTATTGGCTTTGAGAGTACAGACTTCATATATATTGTCTTTGTTAGCTATATCCATGGGCAGGGACACCTTCCACTAGACCAGGTTGCTCAGAAACCTTGCCTGTCTTTCTGCATCTCCAAATTTACAGGACTCACTGCAGACCTGAGCTAGTTTACAAGCAAACATACAGGCAACACGATTCTTAATGAGTAAGATGCATAGGCTAATTTAACTGTGTAAAGCTGCTCACAGCAACTACTGTCATGATTTATTGTGTGTCTTCAATGACAAGAAAAGTGATATATTATTTCCCTGACTTTAACAGAAATCTATTTGTGAGGCCCAATTTACCCTGAATTTATTCAGCTTTTGGTCCATAAACAATTAAAATGACTACTCCCTTTCCCCGTTATTCAGAAGTTAGCCTTCATGTGCTGTTTGCTATTAGAAATGTCATTTTGCCATACTCTGTTGTTTTCTACCGTAATATAATGGATAGAGAACTTTGATCTAAAAAAATATTGAGCTGTGCTCTTGATAAAAAATTGACACTCCTATTGTCAACAGAATCTTTGTAATGGATTTAAAAATCTTAATTACAGAAGTGCTTGTCAGTCATTTTTAAGTATGATTTCTCTGGAATTGAATTGAAACAGGTGGAAGTGGCACTCAAGCACAGGCGTAAATTAGAAAAATATTAAGTAAGTGCATTTTTTAGGTATAAGCATAACAGATAAAGATACAGAGTATCACAAGATAACCACAGTGTGAAATAGAAGCAATAGCACTACTCTCATTAAAATGTGACAAATGATTTATATGTATGTGATATGGATAGTTTATTTTTAGTAGCTATAATGAGGTCTTAACACCACTTATACCTTAAACTGATTTCAGCAGCGATGGTAAACAATGCAAATTTAAGCCCAATCTGAGACAAATCAGGGGGTGGAAGAACTTCCTGCATACTTCACCTTTTTTCGGTTCTGCTTTCTAACACTACTATTAAACTGGGTGGAGGGAATTTGGTCAAAAGAAAAATCAACCCAAAACCAAACCCCAGTGTTGAAAATATTTACATGAACTAACAGCTATAATGGAAATGGAATTTACTAACCAAAATGTGCAAGAATCTGAGAAAACGAAGTGGAACAATCAACGTACAGTATCCAAACATTACATGTGATGATATGATATATAAAGATTTCTAATACTTATTAAAATATAAGACTATAAATATACAATATTATCTAAAATAAAAATACAGGAATAAATAAAATAGATATAATAAAAAAGGACTATGGAAATTGAAAACCCCAGAAAATTAGGTCACAGTTACAAAAATGACCAGCAATCTACAGTGATTTTGTATATACTGCTTTTCTTAAAAGTCTATGGTTTTCCAAGGCCATTTGAATATTTACCATCTAAAAGATCCAGTTCCTGTAAAGCATTACAATAATTTGAAAATTCTAATAAAATTGCAAATGCCCTTTCCAAATTATACTTAACAGAAATAGAAAAGGAGGCATTTGTGTCCTTAAAATACATTCACATACAGTTACATGCCTTCAAGGAGCAATACGAAAACAAAATCATTAACCTCCCACTGCAATTCAGGCCAAAGAGCAAGGAGGAGAGTAGTTGTTACGATATGATAGTAACTTATCCCCAGGTAGGCAGCAATAGGACAAAAAGTGGGTATGGTGGATATAACATCAGCTTTGTTGTCAGTGATCTGCCTCTCTGAACTAAAGATTTGTATATGCACATATTTGATTTGAAAGTTATGAAACAATTAGTAATCACAATTTTGAGTATAAAAAAGGAAAAAAAAACCAACTCCATAAGCGCATCAAAGCAAGGAACTCATCGACATGCAGGCCTCAGTCCAAGTAATTAGAACTGGATCTGGAGCCCCTGATTTTAGAAGCTTATGCATATATGGACATTGGATATGAAAGATTTGAATTTTGTATTACTAAGCCCCAATTCTTAGTCCTTATCATTTTGGACAAAGCTAGCAACTGTGAAGCAAGTCTAATAAGTGATATGGGCCTAGAGAGCATTAAAACAAGATGTCTGAATATATGAACTGCCCAATTTAGACCAACACACATTTTTTAAGCCAAGAACAAATTCATCTGAGCAATCCTGTTAACATCCTCCTCATATGCCATCCAAGTTGCACTGCGAGTAACACACTTAGGTGAGTCCACCCATAGTGATAAACTGTTGCTTGTACTGGGATACAGCTATTTGCTGACATGCTTGGATGGGAAAAAGTCTATCCTGAACATAAAGTTATATACTAAGGCAAAGACAAGTTAACAGCACACTGGTAGCCTATAGAGAAGATTGCAATTCCCAATCCTTCTCCCCCTTTTTATCATCACTCCAAATGCACAAAGTACCTCTTTTGTGTAGGCTGTGATATTCACCTGGTAACAGGTTGAACTACATCAGCAACCAATCCAGCTGGAAACTATTGTTTGGTTTTGCTTACTCAGTATCTTCCTTTAATGTTCCTGACTTCTTATAAACTGCTCAATGCTAACAATCTGAAAATGTTGTTCTTGTGAACTCTTACAGCACCAGATTACAGTTTCTAAATTATGTGAGTGAAAAATAAGGCACCCAGTCTACTTTATGTTGTGATTTATTCTTAGGTAAATAAACCTCAACAGACTTAGCTACCTGAGCTGGCTTAAAGAGGTCCAACAAGGACTGCAGCCACTATGAAAAAAGGGAAAGGTGTGTATGAGCAGAAGGAGGGAAGGAGACACAGAGAAAGAATGAGGAATCATGTCGAGTAACAATACTAATTTAAGCCATATTTAGCATTATCCCTGCTGAGAAGAAAGTTAAAGTATGGAAGACAGACTGGGGGCTAAATCTACCAAGTTTTGAGGATTACTTTCTTTCAACTCTCTGAAGTTCTCTGTCAGTGCCATTTCTGCAAAAAGCTAAACCTTTTGATTCATAAAAGTGACAAGGAGGCAGTTTCAGACACATCAAAACCCTTGTTTAACACATGAGCTGGAAAACATCATCCAGAACCAACTCTATAATAAAGTGTGGGTGGCTGCAGAAAAAAGAGAGACTTCTAAGACCTTTTTGTTTAAAAAAAAGTTTCTGTCTCATGTGCAATACTACAGAAATTGTCTATGGTAACAACCAGCTGAAGGTAGAAAAACATTTTTTAGTCTTTTGACTTCTTCATATATACAGTTGCTGTCTCTTCTCACAGCTGATACTGAAGACACTGCTGAAGTTAGTATCGCATACATGTCTTGAGCAAGAGTACCAGCTGGATCCTGAAAAAAATTAGTTGTTCAATATTTGTATCCAAAGGAAAAGGAGGCCTAGAAGAAGGCAAGAACACACACACAACCCCCCCCAAACTTGTCTGAGGAACTGACAGAACTGCACAATAATTAAACCAAAACTTTCACAGTGAAGACCTTCCTTGTTTACGTGTCTCTCTCTTATTCCCCTTTTGGATTAGGTTGCTAACAGTTTCTCCAGGAAAGGAGGAACCTACTATGTTGAAAAACAAAGCCTTTTGTTATTTCATTTTCTTTCCTTTTTTAAGCACCACTGCCAACATAGAAAGTTGCTCATATTTTCAACACCAACAATATGGGTTTTACAAACAAGTTACAAAACTCATGAGGTTTCAGAAATTATCCACTTGGAGCTATTCTTAGCTTTGTTACACCACTGATAACATGTAATCATAATTGTAAAACAGTTTTAATACAAGCCACTTAAAACCATAAATCTTTCTATATAGATCAGGAAAAGCCAAACTTTGTTTGGAAAAAAAATAATTTCTTTGTGCAACTCTATTAATCTCCTGAAATGGTCCTGGCCTGCCAGCAACTGAGGTCAATCAGACACATAAAGAAGCATACGACTGCTCGATGAGACTCAGGAGAACCCTTTTAATTCTCAGTAAGTGCCTGAGATACAAAAATGTAAGCAAAATCAGGACACATTCTGATCGCAAATAACTCTGGCAGTTAAAGAAGTCACAGACCTCAACCCACGAATACCTTTGATCTCAGTAGAAGAATCCAGGCAGAATGTGCATGAACATTCTCACTATCTTGTGAGTTTCAACCATTTCTTTTAAACCTTGAAATCAGTGAGTACTAGCATAACGAGTGATACAAATGACATTGGCTCTTAAGTGATTACATAGGTAAGCAAATTATGCGTATCTTTACAAACCAGGTTCTTGATTTGCATCAGTTATATACCACAAGCAGGAAATAAAAGGTAGTATTTTACTAGCTCCACATCAGTCAACAAATATGACTTGAAACTTTTAAGACCCATATTGTCCACAGATTTTAATTCTTCGCTCCCTGCGAGTCACTTCCATCAGTCTCACACATCCTATATTAAGAATTGTTTTGTTGCTCTTGATTTAGCATTTTATTTAAAAAAAAAGGGGGAGGCAAACAAGCAAGCCGGCACGCAGCTTGCTTGGCTGGAGTCGCAGTAGCACAGCTGATGGGGCTGAAGTTTAGCAGCGATCTGTGAAGGGAAGTTAAACACTAAAATAATGCCTATTCTCGTCTTCACGGCATGGGAGGTGTGAAGCAAGATGAAACGGAGGAGAGCGACGGTTAGACCACCTCCCTCTCCAGCACAGCGGGGCCTGCACCGAACGCCCATCTCCGTCGCCTCCCGGGGGGGCGGCAGCGGGCCTGGCCCATCACCGCTGCTCGGGAACCCCCTCAGCAGTGCGGTACCAGCAAGGCAATACGTCTCGCCAGACAAGTAGAGGAGAGTAGCTCCTTGTGAACTTGTGCGCTTCTATAAGCGAGGGGGGCAGCCAGATACCGGAGCGGGATGGGAGGGAGGAAAGGGACGGGGGCTAACAAAGCGTGATTGCCCCCTCCTAGAGCGGTTCCCTGCTGCCCCCGCGGGTCTCCGGCGGCCGTCGAGCCCGCAGGAAGGAGCCCAGAGCCGGGAAGGCAAAAGGCCCGGTCCCCCAGTCGGGCGCTGGGGGGTAGGCGGACCGCGGAGGGCTGCTGCCGGCCGCCGGGGCAGCGAGGAAAGCGGAGGCGAGGAGCGGGGCATCCCAGGCCCCGCTAACACCGCCGGGCTGTACGTGGTCGCCGCCTGCCGCAGGCACGGCTCCGGCGGCCATCGCGGGCTCGCCACCCCTGTGCGCCCCTCCGAGGACGGAGGGGTGGGGGCAGAGGAGGCGGAGGAAGCGGCGGCGGCACGGCGAAGGAGGGAGGGAGGGAGCCGGAGCCGGGCCGGGCCCCGCAAAAGCAACAGCAGCACCAGCTCCTCCTTCTCGGTGAGTCCCGCGCCGCCGCCTCCGGAGGCTGCTCGCCGCCGAGCCCGGATGCCGGCGCAGGCCGGGCCGCGCTGCCGAGGTGCCCAGGGAGAGATCCGCGCCGGGAGCGGGACACCGCGGCCTCCGCTGGGTGAGCGTCCCCGCGGCAATGGGCGCGCCGCGGCGGGTCTTCCACCCCCTTCCCCCGGCGGCAGTAGAGGGCTGGCGGGGAGGAGGGAGGGCCAGGGGATGGGGACAGTGCGGTTAGCGCTTTGCCCGCCGCCCGTCGCCTGAGCGGCGGCCCCGGCCTCCTCTCCCTTTGTTCGCTCAGATCCCCGAGCCTGCGGCGGTGCCAGGCCCTGCAGAGGCACCGGGGCCACGGCGCGGCCTGCAAGGCGGGCGGGTGGGGAGCCGGGCCCGGGCCGCCGAGGCTCTGCCCAGCCCCCCGCTGGGACAGGAGCGGGCCGGGGCCGGCCTCTCACCCCCACCAGCCGCCGGTCTGCCCTGGGCCGCTGAATAAACACGCCCCGCTTCTACCGACCACATTATCGAGGCAGCTGAATTAGGCTGACTCGTCCCCACCCTCCCTGTAACCCGTCTGCAGTTACGGGCCTGCGGGGTCCCCGTCTGCAGCCGGGTGGGGGCTGGTGCGGCGGAGGAGCTCGGGGGCGCCGGTGTCGCGCCGTTGAGATGAGGGTGCGCCGCGGGCTCCCGGAGGGCCGAGGGAAAGAAACGCTGGTTTCTGGAACAGGCAGCACTTGAAAACTTGACTTTAAATCCCAACACCAAACCCCCAAACTTTACTGGCTTATTGTTCTTCAAGCTGCTTCTTGTGTTCTCCTTCCCTTAATGGTGCTGCTTCCCTCGGTAAAGAGCTCCTGGCCCATGCCTACCCGCTTGCTGAAGAAACCATTGAGGTTCTAAGAGATGTAGAGGTTGATGCTTCTGTGGTGTGAGGTGCTTTAGCTGTGTCTTCTTGTCTCCTTTACTCTTTGGCCTTACTATATTTTAAAAATCATCTTAGTTTGGAACACTTTTGTGGAGTACATTACTTTCTGTTAAGGCGTTGGTTGCAGAATAATACACTTCAGCCAGGGAAAGCTGCTCTTCCACTTAGTAAATTCTTGTGCCCTTTTACTATTAAGTGCCAGCCTCTCTTTCCTACCTGCCAGGAATGTTTATACCCTGTCCAGCCTCTTAATACACCTATAGTTTAAAAATGCCTGCTGCAGGCCTTCTGTGTTAGAGAGCTGCTCTCTGCACAAGTGCTTGAGTAGTGCAGCTGCATTTCTGCTCTGGGTGGAAAAAATAGCACTATTTTTGTTTCATGTTAATAAACGCATCCTTGGATTGTAAAAAATATGGAAGCTTCAGTATAGTTACAAAATAAATTACTTGTCTTGACTGGGAGACTTTAAATTACTAGAGCATGTGTAGATATTTTTGGAGTCTTCTGCAGTAAGGTGGTAATTGTAGCATGCAGTTTTATGTGTAACTTATGAAAGGCAAATTTCAGCTTTTTCAGAATGCTTTTCATGAAGTGTTAAGCAGTACTTGAATGGAGTCTTCACTTCCTATTACATATTTCTTGTATTTGTGGCTTTGCTCTGTGTTCAGAACTGAACTTGTACTTAAAGCAGGTTTACCTGTTGTAGGCTTAGTCAAATGTGTATTCCCTGTATCCTGAGTTTTGAGATTTAAGTACAGTTTTAAATTAAAATTTTAAATTTAAAATTAAATTAAAATTAAGATTAAGCTTTAATGCTTCAAAGTATGAATGGTCATAGTGTATTGTTATAGACATACCTGCATTTGCTAACTCCCTGGGAAGGAGTAAGGAAGGAGCACCCACCGTATTGTTTGCAAAGCTTTTGTGTCACTTCATCACACTGTGTATGTGCAGCATCAGAGTGTTCATGTGGGTTCAGAAGACATAATGGATAATCCTTAAACTTCCTGAGAACTTGACATACTGAAGTCTGAAAAAGATGTATGTTAATTTAGACTATGCTGTTAACTTCTTTGGTCCTAGATTGTGAAGTCGGTCAGCCAGACACCTTGGGTTACTCTTGGAGGGGGATGTTTTGAAGAAATAACTGCTCCACATTGTTCTGCAAGTAGATTGATTGCACCTCTAAACTCTCCTTAACACAGTAAAGTGATGAAGTGAATGAGCCCTTAATTAACAGATCATCTTAGAAATCAAGTTACTTCTTTCTGTTCTTTCTTATGAAGTCTTCTATAGTCATACAATAACTCAAACATAAACATTAGAAAGACTTTTATCATGTAGATGCCTTGAGTTCAGTACATACTTGCACTATTGCTGGCAAAACCGAGGCCACAGTCCAGGGTAGTCCCTTACTCAAATACTTTATTTGCTATTGCTTTACTGCCCTCCTGGGCCTACACTATTTTGGTAGTGTTTGGATAGTAGCAATGTATAGGGAGTTGTAGGGAGGTGAGTGATAACACAAAGTAGGTAGGAAGGATACTCTGCTGGTATGTGTCTCAGGTTTTTGTTGATAGTGTTTTAATACATGTTACCAACAAATTAGAGGAGGTAGCTCAAGCAGTTGTGATGCTCCATGGAGGAAAAATAAAGACACAAGTAGTATAAAAGTAAATGTAATCCAATTAAGGATGCAAATGCTATAAAATGTAGTGAGTACAAATTGGATAGGATTGGGATTGAAATGTAGAATAAAGTTTTCTTATGCAACTATCCTGTGATGAAGTATTAAACTGAAACGAAACAGAACTTTGAGTTTCCTCATTTATTGATTGATGTATTTACTTCTAAAGAGAAATAACAGTATCTGGTAATGTCTGTCATGTTCGTGCCAAAATCTGATTTCATTACATTTTCGCGTACACTTATTTTTCAGTAAATACATATCAGCCTTCAGAAGAAAATAGGTATACTTGATGCAAAGCCCCAGATTCTTACATCCTCTTTCCCACTGCCTCCCAATAAGATTTTTAGTAAAATCAGAAAAGGAAGTATCCTTTTTTTTAAAAAAAAAAAGGTCATGAAAATTTTCCTTGACAGTTTTGGGTGGCAAATGATATACAGCAGTATGTTATTTTAGAAAACATGAAGATTGTGCTTGTAATGGAGTATTTATTGTCCATGTTTAAAAAGCAGCTTCATACCAATAAAATATGCTTCTGATACAGCAGAGGTTAAAGATTAATGGCACACAGTAGGTTCTTTCTTTGTTGTTATTTTTGCTTTTTCCTCTGTAAAGAATTAATTTCTGAATTTAAGCTCTATATTACATAAGTTACATGGATATATTTCTGTGTTAAAAAGTTACACTAGTTTTGAAACATTTACAAACTTGTACCTTTTGTGTTGTTTTTTTTTGTTTTTTTTTTTTCTCTTTTTTTTGTTTGTTTTTTTTTTGTTACAGTAGGTTTTTTTTTTTTCCCCACTGTAGCTGAATGATCTTATTGAAACAAAAACCTATCACCTACTTCAGCCTCTCCTGGTGGTTAAAATCAAAACAAGCTGGCCTTGAATTATTGCCTTGGGTGAAAATGGAAAGCTGTCTGCATGTGAAGTGTTGTCTAATACATCAAGCATATAAAGAAGGTTACACAGTCTTTGCTGGACTCTATACAGACTGAATTTGAACCAGCACCATGATGCAGAATCTGATTTAGTCTACTTATTGTAAGAACTAAAACTCTCAGATCCAAAGTCATTTTGAACATAAATTATGTTTGTAATTTCTTTCTTAAGGTCACTTAAAAGTTGTACCTATTTTTTTCTTCTACCACTTTTCAGTGTTCTGACGCCTGCTTTTGTCATGTACAGGCATGCAGGCAATAAGCATCTGCAACTCCAGATAATTTCAAAAAATTTTGGCTTTGCAAATCTGACTGCTGTTCATTAGAGTCTGTAATGTAGATTTAAGGACCCATCTTTAGATATTTTTAGTTAAAAAAAAAAACAGTGATTATATGTCAGGAAATTTTCTTCTGGAAAGTATTAAGATAACATACTCTGAAAATTATTGGCCCTTTTCTGTGTCCTTAACCATTCACGTAATATTTTGGTCTCTGAGGAACTCAGTTGGCTTTGTTTGTGACAAGAATGTAAGCCACATGTTACCTAAAAAAATTATTCCTTGATTGCTACATCACCAATAAAGCTATGCAAGTTAAATATGAGTCTTTATTTGTTTAGCACAGGTGCCTATGTATTGGCTAACTTGTTCTGCCTCTGACTTAAAAATTCTATTTAAGGAAAATGAATAAAAGTCTCCTTGCTTGCAGGTAACCCCAACGTAGGCATGCTGTATATAGGCATTTCTGTCCAGCTCTCCAAATACTGTTTCCTATTGTGTATTTATAGGACACATAGATCATGAGATGGTTCCTAGCCTGTGTGAAACAGCCTTTACTTTTTGAACCTGCCAAGTGCAATAGGTTGGCAGTTTAAAAAAAAATCTCAGGTTTGTAAAGTATGTGGGTTTTTTGTTACAAACGCCAAGTAATTTTACTGTAAACCGCTGTAAAAACAGTTTTGGATGGAAGATATTTTCTCTTGCAGGGAAGGTATAAATAGTAGATGGTAGTCTTTTCTTCAGCATGTGTGAGGTGATCTGTAGTAAAAAAAAAAAAAAAACAACAAAAAACAATGAAAATGAACTTATGTGTGGTGTTAAGTAAATCATAGGGATATGTGGTATTTTTCTGTGCTTCCCAGAGCAGTGTATAATCAGCAACTGTATTTGTATTATTTAACTTGAATAGTATATGGTAATAATCTGTAAGATGACTTGTGTAAGGTTTTGGTGCTCTCAGCTAGCAGCTAAATTGATTAATTTTAGGATTTGAGATTCCAAACTTAATACCTTTGGTATTGTTTCTCAAGGATATTACATATTATTTAATACATAGAGTGCCACTCTTGATGACAGAATTGCTGGAAGTGAGGATCCATTCAGGCTTAGTTTTACAGTGGATGATCTCTGTTTTTCTTGAGTAGTTTTATTCTTAATTAATCTTGACATTCTCTGGTAAATGTGCTAAAACAGCAGTTTGTAGGAGTCTTGAGTAGGTGATTGTTTTTCATTCTATAATGCAGTCTGCATTCCTTGGATAGGTTGAGAACAAATTAGTAGGCTACTCCAAACATTT